ACCCCAGACCAGTCCTGAGTATGAACGAACACAAGGATGAAAGCAGTGATTGTGGCTGCTACCGTCAGACACATCACTCCAACATGGACCTGGAGGAACACAAAGAAAACAGCATGATACTGTGGCAGCTAAACCAATACAGGTTTGGACCAAGCTGTCTTACAAGTCTATTATATCTGAAATTACTTATGAAGTTAATATTTTTAGTTGCGAAATTTATTCTGGAAACACACCAAGTTTAAGTTATTTTCAAGCCTGGTTTAGTTTACAAAAACTTTGGTTCCACATTGAACAGATAATACATGGTTTTGTCTATGATGTCTCACCATAAACCAGAGATCTTTGTCGCACATTTTTTTTCCCTTGGCCATTTTTTTTAGATATCGGGCAACCATCATGCCGAGTGATCCTGTGGTCATCCAGGCAATCAGCATGAGTGATCCTGAAACACAGTTAAATATTGAAATTCTCTCCACTTCTCTTTGTTTTAGGATTTAAGATTAATTTCTTCCCCTGGAGTAAACATGTCGTCTGTCAACTGACTAAAAATTTAGAGTCAAATTCTGGATTTAAACTAATGAGTCAACAGAGCAAAGGTAATATGACAGTGAGCAGCCAAACAGCAACCTTGGGCCAAGAAACTGAGTCCAATGCCATAATTACAGGTATACCATTAGCAGAAAAGCGGCACAGAAATGTTTTTCACATCTTCAAAATTCTATTAGTTTTCAAACATCTGAAGATTGTTATAAACGACTGTTTTGCATATCCTTGTCTCATGAAAAAGGACAGTTATGGACCCATCTAATATGTCCAACCTCATCCACTGTTTTGGTTCCTTTTTTGTGTAACTTGTGTCTGTGAAAAATGTGCAGTTCAATTTAAAGGACTGCAAGTCTACTCAGTTTTATAGATTAAACACTTTAATCGTGCTAAAAGTACAAATGAAATGAAGTTCCTGGTAGCATTTATCTTCCAAGCACTTTCAAATCATTTAGCTGTGAACAGCTTAGCAAAAAAACGAGGACTTTGCTGAGATTATTTTGGACTAAAAAACATTTTTATTTTACACGTATCCCTTTGTGGAAGGTCTTACCATGAGCTTTGATGATATCAGGAACATCACCTTTGCCAACAACAAGGGGATTATTAATATTGATCCTTTTATTGCTGGTGAAGGTACCCACATGGAATGTTATTGATCCTGTAGGAAAGATATATCAAAGTTTACAGACACTTGTATACGTGTATGCATGTGTGAGTGTCACACAGGATAACATTTAACCACACCAACATTTAAATTTCACAGAATAAGCTATGAATACGTTTCCACATACCACAACCAATCTCTCTCTTGTGGTGGCATAAATTGAAAGCGGGATTCATGAGTCAATAATACATAAAAGGAAATAGTCTGACATTGAACTTGATGTGAAAAAGAAAAAGTGTAACATGCCTAGAAAAAAAACATAGGTTGGAATAATGAAAAAAGGTGAAAGTCAATATGGCCAAAAGGCATCAGCTTTATGTGCATATAATACATTCAGCTAATGCATGAGTAGGTGTAAGTTTGTAATCTACTATTTAGATACAAGTTGGGTTAGGATTGGTAAGGTTTGCATGCCTATGAAACAAGTTTCATTTTCATAACCTGGTAGAGACAGAGTTATTAAAAGTGAACTCATTTGAGACTTTTTACATTATTGGAAAAGGAACCACAGTCAAAGGCCCTGCATAACCGTTCGAAGTAAAAGTATTTACTGGAGTACAATTGTAAACAATAAAAAACACGTGCTTATTAGATCGCCTGCAAAGTATCATTTGAAAGAGACTTTTCCAAACTGTTTAAAAGACTGACTTGTTTGGTGTAACAAACCATCTGGCACATCAAATTATGTTACCATTGTTGGTGGGTCCATAGGAAAACAAGAGGTAGTAGGATTGGTTGAAACCAGAAGTCCCCTCAATAGAAATTGTGTTTGTGGTAGTGAAGACACAACTGATGACACTGTTCTGCAATGACGTTGTTATATTATAAACATTCCCCTGTTGGAACCAAACACACATAAATCTCAGATGTAATTTATGGAGTAAAATGGAAAAAATACACAGGCAGTTCACTTTTTCCACAGAACTGAATGGAAACATTCTAGCCTTGTATAAATCGCTGCTATCAGAAAAAATGTAGTACCAGAGGAAGAACTTGTGGCTTTGATCGTCCTGTTGAATACATATGTTCCACCTCCACTTGTCCATTGCTTTTCATAACACAAACGTAAATGTCATCATTTCCCTTGGGAAAGACAAATTTGGAATGAATTGGCTTGTTTTACAAGTTGTGAATGATTTAGCATTGCTCACAAAATTGGTGGGAATCATCAGAATATTTTATTAATCCTATAGGAAATATGCAAATTGGAGGTAAGTGAACAAGGACTGCATTACAGCAGCTTTACACCAACAGATGCAATGCAAATACACCAAGAGGCTTATTGCTGTTATTGCTTAAAAAACAAACAAATAAACAAAAACCTAACTTTAGCTTCAGAGGACTGATAATTTTGTCTTTACATTACCATTCTTTGATCATCAGAGAATCCAAAAGCGATGTATCCTTCATAAGGACCAGTCATCTCAAAGTGGACAGCTTCGCCACCGGCTAACATCATGGCTGACATGAAATAACAGTTAGAACTGACTGCTGGGTCACAGTTTGAAGGCTGACTGAAGCACACCTTGGTGACCCCACAGTCAGCACTAGAGATGGATCCAGCTGATTTCTGCGCACACAGGAAGAGAAAACTTTGGCATCGTCATTTTGAATATACTGTGTAATCTTATTTTCTTATTTATACGGCGCCAAATCACAACAACAGTCGCCTCAAGGAACTTTATATTGTATGGTAGACCCTACAATAATACATACAGAGAAAAACCCAACCATCATATGACCCCTATGAGCAAGCACTTTGGCGAAAAACTCCCCTTTAACAGGAAGAAACCTCCAGCAGAACCAGGCTCAGGGAGGGGCGGGGCCATCTGCGACTGGTTGGGGTGAAAGAAGGAAGACAGGATGAAAACATGCTGTGAGAGCCAGAGATTAATAACAGATATGATTCAATGAAGGGAAGCCAATCTAGGAGAAATATGCTCTCTCTTTCTAGTCCCTGTCAG